TTTACAAAATAATCCTGAGTACACAAAGAATTATGTTACCAATGAATTTAAGAAAGTCAGTCAGGCTCACATTATGATTCACTTTTGCATACAGGAAACTACATAAATGAATACATAGGGCCTGTTCTTTGTAGACAAAAACGACATGTACATAATTTATGCCTGTTACAACTTAGGAAAATAGGCAATAACCATTTTCTGGTTCATTTCTCAGGAAATTGCCTTGAACAATGATGATCAGCCTACTTGGCTTACTATTAAAATGCGATTGGTGGTTAATTGTCTGTCATCATCTGTCTGGTGATTTCCCAATGGCAAAGCCTCTACCAATCAGAATTCACTTGACATCCAATCAGCATTCTCTTCTCCTACAAGATAAAATGTTGTTCCTCCCTTTAAAATGGGAATTCCTTGAAGAGTGCAAGATCAAACGCTTTGACGAAATGTGCATTTTCTTTTAGCAATACCCAAATTCTTTACTACCTAATTACTATTTGTAACTCTCATTTCTCATCACTGGTACCATTTTCATGATTTTAGCTTTACACCTTCTCTAATGGCTTCACAACCTTCATAAATTGTTGAGCCCAGAATTGAACACAGTATTCCAGTTGAGGCCAAGCCATTGTTTTAAATAGATTCATGATAACTTCCTTTCTTTTATACTCTACGCCTCTTTTTGGAAAGCTCAAGGTCCCAAATACTGTTTTAACTGTTCTGTGATCCTGTCCTATCACCTTCAATGATTTTTGCATTTATATTCCCACATTCTTCTGTTCCTTTAGAGTTGTACCCTTTATTTTCTGTTGCCTTGTAACTGACTTCCTAGTAAAATGAATGACTTCATACTTCTCTGTATTAAATGTCATTGGCCATCTGTCAGATTGTCCAGTGCACCATCGCTCTGTGTTCTTTTGAAATTTTAACACTACCCTCCACACAGCTCACAATACTTACAATTTTCATGTCATGTGAAAATCTTGAAGTTGTGCCCTGCAGTTCACAACAAGTCATTACTATATATCAAGAAGTTCATCGGTTGTAACAGCCACCCCTGGGGAGACAGAGCAAATTTTCCTACTCAACCAGTTTTGTATCGTGTAGCTACTGCTCTTTTTATTCCATGTCGTATAGCTGATTATCAAATGCCTTTTGTAAGTTTGTGTACACTGCAACATCAACATTACCCTCATCAACCCTCTCTGTTATCTGTTCAAAAACTCAAGCTAGTTATTAAAGACAACAAGGTGCAGGGCTGGATGAACACAGCAGGCCAAGCAGCATCATAGGAGCAGAGAGGCTGACGTTTCGGGCCTAGACCCCTATCTCTAGTTATTAAACATGGTTTGTCTTTTAATAATAAAAAAAACAAACTGCTGACTTTGCTTAGTTAAACCACATTTGCCCTTATAATTGGTATCTTTCTCCAAAATTATTGTTTCTAAAAACTCATCCACATCAAGGTTAAAATGACTGGCCTATAGATGTGGACTTAACCATTTAATTATTCTTACTCTGAACTGTTCCTTGTCCTTTGTTTCCAAAAAGACAGTGCAGCCTTTGTCCCCTTTCTCATTGGGCTAGAAGCTTATTGAGATAGAAAATTCTTCTCATACTTCAGGAACTCTTGCCCCTCTGTGCCCTTTATGTTATTACAATTCTGGTCTTTAATGGGATTAATAAAGTTCCTCATTATAACATGTATTCCCATATATCAGTTCTGAGGAAGGGTCACCAGACCCGAAATGTTAACTCTGTCTTTTCCTTCACAGATGCTGCCAGACCTGCTGAGCTTTTTCAGCAACTTTGTTTTTGTCCCCATTATAACTACTCTGTAATTCTTGCGTTTCTCTGTCATTTCCTTGTTCTGCTTCACTTTCCATACTGGATGGTAGCCCACAGACTATGCCAAGTCATATGTTTTCTTAGCTCTAGCCAAATAGATTCCCTCTGGACCATCCTCTCCCATCGTCACTACAATTCCCTCCTTAAGCAAGACGCAAACCCCTCCGTTTTTGCCTTATTTATCTTTCCTGAATATCTTGCGTGCAGGAATACTTAATACCTACACAGGACTTGGTTATCATCTCAACATCATATTTGTACATGGTTATCTATGCCTGCAGTCACCAACCAATTTGCAGCACTATGAACATTCACATAATGTTGATGGACAGTACCCTAATTTAGGTTTCATTAAATTCCCTCTTACTCTGCAGTAGTGTTCGGATACTACCTGGACAAAGGCCAGATTGCCTGGGGGGTTGGGGGGAGGAATGAATCACAGGTGTGAGCAATGAGAGAAACATCACCCCATGAGTGAACTGAGGAATTTCAAAAGGAGCTATTCCTTCAATTACAGGCTGCTTCTCCCTGTATTTGCTGCTGATGGGTTTACCAGTGAGGAAGTGTGGAAAGGAGGCAACCTGTGACTGGGGAAGGAAGGTGACTGGGAGTGATGAACAGCACTAGTGAGGCCACAAGTGAGCAGTTGGCTTAGAGGTAGTAGGAAAGGGGACGTTTCGGGTCTGGACCCTTCTTCAGAAAATTTTTGTGAGCAGTTAGCTTGCTGTGCAAGGCCCATTAGGAGTATGTCTGCAGGATAAGGCCAAGGGCGAAGTGGGGGAGCTGCCTCGTGAGGTGAGGTGGTGAGGTTGGTTGCAAAGGGGAGAAGGAGGGAGGCTGCCAAGGAGAGCCTATCAATATAAGGACACCTAGTTAACTGGGATCCAAGGAAACCTTACATCACAGATAATGAATTGCAAACAAATTAGCATGCTTTATCTGAAGTGTGTGCCTGTTCTTAAAAATAAACTTTTGTTACTAATTGTGGCTGGTATATTGTGCCAGTTTAAAAACTCTGATGTTTAAGAAATTTAAGCTTGCCTTTTGCCTCATGGTTTTAAGTTTAAATGCAAGTTGATAATTATTGAGGATATTGGTGAATTCTTTTGCTTGTGTGAGTCCAAGCGCAGGTAATTTTACTGACTGACAACATCACCTACTTAAGGAGTTAGTGAGTACAAAAAATAGCCTGGTAAAATTTAAAAATAGCCCCCGAAAATTAAAATGTAGTTGTTGAGAAATCTTGAGAAGTGCCTTCGAAATAAAATTATATTGACCCTGCTCCAAACCCTCATAATGCACTACTATTTCCTACTGTCTGTCGTAATTTGCTCTGTGTCAGCTTGACTCACAGTTACAACCTCCTGACCCTGGCCACTCACCAACTCTGAAGTTCAAATTTAATCTAAGAAGTTTGACTTCCTCCTGGACTAAAGTTTCCAGTTAATTTCCCTCCTTCCAATTGCCCTGCAACATCTGAAACTTAGATTCCAGTTCAACAATTCTGAATCAAAATTGCTCAATCTGCGGGCACTTATCACATATTATTTTCAGGGAACGCAGTGCTCTCCATAGATTCCGAAACGTCATAGCTCACCATCCCATTGTATATGGCACTTGCATTTTTACTCCATTTTGTACATCTCAAGAGAGGCCATTGCATTTAAATTCTTGTGGAAAATGCCATTTCAAACAACTGATACAATATAATGCAAATAGGCTTAACTTTTTCATATGAATATAGGAATTAGGGGATGAGTAGACCATTCAGTTCCTCACCTGCTCCACCATTCCAGATCATGGCTGACGATCTACTTCAGTGCCGTATACCCACATTATGCCCATATCCCTTGATGTCATTAATAACTAGAAATCTATCGATCTCCGTATAAAACTGACTTAATGACTGAGCTTTGATAGCTGTCTGGGATAGAGAATACTGAAGATTTATCACCTCTGATGAAAGAAACTCCTCCTTATTTCAGTCCTGAAGGGCTTATCTTTTAATTATGTGCTCAACTTCACATTCCAATCTACCTCCAATCCAGTTTGACTCCCTTGTTAGTCAAGAATCTATCGTTCAATGACACTACCTCCACTGCTGCCTGGGAAATAGAATTCGACAGACCCAAG